ACAGACATCTGCCATGGCCCACTTGAGAAATAAAAAAAAAAAAAAAAAAATCATAAATCCCCAAACCCAGAGCTGAGCCCGTGGGTTTTCATTCCCATCGTTTTCATGCCAAGGAGCACAGCGCTCCCCGGCAGGGCCGGGCTAACACGATTAGCCAGGCAGATCCACCACCCGCATCCGGCACCCCCAACGCTTGGGCAACTTTGAAAAGTTCAGCAGCTCGACAGGTGAGGCCGTGAAACCCGAGCAGGGCAGACAATGTCGTCCCCCCCCGCCCCAGCGTCGTGCTGGGAAGAACTTGTCACGTGCGTCATATCGGGCAACATGCTTGAAACAGAGCAGCGCACTGAAACCCCAGCAACACGAATAATCTTTGCCATCTGTTTGAACAACTCAACCCTCCTCAGATCTAAAGGAATGATCCCATGCAAACACAAGGGCCTTGCTGACTGATTATAGCAGCCCAGCCCTTCTTTTTTGGGGCCATTTTCCTCCCGACGTCGCCCAGCGGTTGAGGCGCGTCGTGGGGAGCCGCTGCAACGGCCAAGGGGGCACTGAGCCCCGTGTAGGTTTAGAGGGGACCACTAAAAGTCCCCACTAGCTTAAGCCCAACACAGTGCAAGGCCAAGAGTTGGTTTTTAATTTTTTTTTTTTTTTTCCACATCAAGAAAACAAAATCTCAAGGGCAAAGTTGCTCGGCAAAACCATCCCGGAGAACGTGACTGTCCTTTAGGACACGCTCGTTCCACCCCAGCGCAGCTCACGGGAGTGCGCTGGAGGAACTGGTCTTTGCTCGGATGCTGTAATTTGCACCCAAAGTCCAGTTGGGAGAAACAGGGCTGTTCCCAAACTTCCTGGGGCCAGCTAAGCTTGTGAGGCTCAGCGGAAACCAACACGTTGAGTTTTGCAAGCACCCGGCTGTGCCCGCGCTCTGGGTCTGAGTCCCGCCGGGAAGCGAAGTGGCAGTGGCAATTAAGCAGCAGGGATTAAACCCTCCCTAAAGTTGAGCTTATAGAGAATGACCAAACACAAGGGCCAACCCCTGCCTTGCTCAAGATTTAGTGCAGCAAGGCTTTCACTCCCAATTTTAACCATCATCTCCTGACTCTTCCCTTGCTCCCAGCCTGGCCCATTGTGAGCAGCAGCTCACACCCCCACGCTTTCCTTGGGGAAAAAAGGGAGGTTCCTGGGGAAAAATAAAATAAATGAGGAAGTTTCTCCTGATTCAGGAGATGCTGTGAAGCAGCTCTTTGCCTGTTAAGGTCCCCATCTCATTTAGGCGATCTGGAAGTCTGAGAAAGGCACGTTTGAAGCAGTTTAATCGCACACCACCAGCCCACGGGGCCTGATGCTGCTGACCCAAACCACACACGGTCTCGGTGAGGAGAATGAACTGAGGCAACTTAGCAATAGCAGGAATACAAAGCACCAGCACTTTAAGAATTTTCCATAGGGAAAAAAAAAAAAAAGAAGGAAAAAAGGAAAAGAGGTCTCCCTGTTGCACTGCTAGAGACAGAGGAGCTCGGTCTAGCCGTGGTGTCGTGGTTACAGCCGGCACAGCCACGGCACAGGGGTTCCAGCAGAGAACTACAGAAACATAAATCAGTGATGGTGACCAGGGCTGGGAACGCCCAGCCCGAGGCAGGAGGGACTGGGTATTACAGCCCACTGGGCTGAAAATAATAATAAAAAAAGAAAAAACCCCAAACATGTAACACTAGTGACACGATCTCTTTTTCTTATGTTAATTACAGGACAACAGACTTTCAAGTCCCAAGGACATTTCAAAGTGCATCACTGCTGAATCAATTAAAGAAAATCATAAAAGAAGTTCAACAATTGTTTTTCTAGGCTTGCAAGAAACATCTTTTCTTCTCCCACCAACCCTACAGTAAACCCAAAGGAGAACAACGCTGTCCCCACAGGCTGCTCGGCCAGGCAGTCGGACACACAGCTCAGAATTCCTTACTGCTCCAAAGAGGGAACCTCTCTACTACCCAAAAATTCCAGGCACTACTTAAAATTTATTTGCAATAGTGGCTGGATCCCATTTCTCCTCTGTCATGGTACGTATTTTCACTGGAGGCAGTTAAAACATGACTGGGTGCAAACCCCGCAGCGTGCGGACAGAAGTTATTTCCACTAAATTTTAGATATCTCACTATTGAAAAAAAATGTAATTTTCCCCCTCTTTTCCCTCTGCTTTTCAGGAATGGTGGTCAGCACCACTTGATGCTCTTTTGCCTTCCACACAAAGGAAACAAACCAACAGATCTCATTTCACTTGACAGAAAATGGAGCAAGGAAAAAGTTTGAGTTCCTGCCTTCAAAAGTTATTTTCCATAGATGAAAACTTGTGACAGAGATCAGTAGTTAACCCAAAGAAAATTAATTACAAATACTCCCAAAAAATGAGAATTCATCAAGCTAAATAAGGAAATCTGTGCTGCCTTCTGCTTCTTGGGAATCTGAAAAAGCAGATTTTGGATGGCAGGAACAACTCAAACAAACAAACAAAAACTCCTAAAAGATATGACCAAATCTAACCAGCTGACTAAAATACACTTTTAATGAGAGGAGGGTCAAAAATTGGCATTTTTATAATTTCAAAGGCAGGCAATTGGATTCACACTGAACACACAGGGTGCCGAGGACACAGTAACACCCCCAGTTCCAAAGTTCAGTCGATCTGTGCAAAGTCGATCTGAAAAACAGAGGTGAGGCTTGCCCAGCTCACTGTGTGACACTGGCACCACTGAACTTTTATAGCATCTTTAATGCAATTTCATTGGGCCATCAGCAAGAAAACACACACACATCTCTTTATTGACATTAAGATAATAAATAAAAGCCTCATTAGAGCTGGGAGAAGTAAGCATGTTCTTGAGGGGGGCTGAGAAGCCCAGATTCACTGAAGTCAGTGGGAGTTTGGAGTTACTACTGTATATAGGAATGGATTTCTAAAAGCCCAAATTTATAGGAACAAACTTCTGCATCTAATTCTAATTAAGACAGAAATAATGCACAGTATATAACAACTCTTCTGTTGTTTTCATCCTCCCCCATGTATTTTGCATTATTTAGTCCCCCCTAATCGACCCTGGTCCTCGTCCCACAGACAGCCAGACACGCTCCCATCCTCGGGGTGAATCACACTCGGGTGATTTCAAGACTTTCAGCATCACTTGCACTGGCTGCTTGGGAATGTCACCATTCAGACCTCGAGATTTGTTGTATTTCAGCTAAAACAGCAAAAATACTACTGAGAAACTGCACTGTGTTTGCAGGGATAGGGCCCACTTTGCTAAAAGTTCAGCAGTTGGTAAGAGGAAACTTTAAAAAGTTTAAACACAACTTTGATACCTGTTCTCCGAATTTAACAATAATGTGTATCCTTTAAATATTGACTTTTGCCCACTGCATCTGGGATAACAGATGAACGTGATCATAAGCATTATTCTCTCCTTCTCCCCTTCCACCTCTTACTTGTAAAAGATTAATCAACCATTTTATGGTCTAATTTAGGTGCCTAATTAAAAACAGAGTTCAACACGTACAACACCATTTTGCTAATAAATTCTGACAGGTCCTCTGGTCTTTTACATGCAAGTTCTCCTTCAAAACGCGAGATTAATACTTTTTTAAACCCAACTGGCTTTATAAAGGTTTCATCTGGGCCGCCGCGGGACGACACGCTGTATCCTCCACCAAACTGACAGAATTTCCTAAAACGAAACAGCTTTCTAAAATGACTTCCTCCTCGCCAGATCTTATCCTGCGCTCATTTCACTAACTGCTGAGGGACGGCAACGTTTTAAAAAGAGACATAAACCTAATCGGACTTGCCGGGTGGGAGTTTCAAGACTACAAAGAGGTTACAATTCGCAACTTCACAGCTCCCATCTGGCTTCAAAGTTTCCATCTCTGCTCCTTTAGCATTCCTGTAAACACTCAGCAGAAAGACATATTCAAAATATTCCTGATAAAGGAACTTCAATCGGAAAAGGGATGAAAAGACACCGAAACGCGGCTCGCCCCGCGCTCCGTGTCCGACAGCGCTTCTCCTGCGCACCCATCGCCTCCCGCTCCGCCGAGCCCACCCGCACACGGACACCCCGCACGGGGCTGCTGCTCGCGAAATCACACGGAATGACTTCCATCCTTGCAGGATGCAAGGAAGAATTTATAATTTTTTTCCTCCCCGTCCAAAGGGTTCAGCCCGTCCCCGACGCGCCCGTTCCCCCTCGACACACCCGCAGCGCTCCCGCAGCCCCGCGGGCGATCGCGACCCGAGGCCATCGATCCAGAGATGATTGCGGGGTAGGAGGAAGTTAACGGGGACGGAGCGCGGGGAGAGAGCAAGGAAGTTTTATCTGGAACGCGGAGCTGCCTCCTGCCAGTCCCGGCTGCCGCTGCGCTCCCGGGACGGGTCAAAAACCCTCCAAACGTCTTAAAAAAAAAAAAAAAAATCCCCAAACGTGTCAGCGCCCTTCAAACTGGTAAAAAAACCCCAAAACAACAAAACCCCAAAAAACTCAAACAGGTCAACCTCCACCCCAACAGGTAAAAAAACCCCAAACGGGTCAACCCCCCCCATCCCCAAATCTGCGGTCGCCCGCCAGCCCGTGCCGGCCCGGGGGACACACCACTCATCCCTCAGCAACACCCCGAGCTGGAGGAAAAATAACCGCTCCAGCAAAACCCTGGAAGCACAGCGGAATAAGAGCGTTTAAGAATATTAAATTGATATTTAACCTTCGTATAAGGATTAAACACGGTTTGGCTCGCGTCAAGCCCGCCGCCGCCTGGGCTAACGGGGAACGCAAGTTGCGATCTGGGTGGATTATATTTTTTAGGGGTCCTTTTTTTGCGGGTGGGAGGGTGAGGGCATTGAGCGGACTCGGCCCTGCGGGCACTCCCCGAGCTGCTGCGGAGCCCGCACCCCTCAACCGGGGCGGCCAGGGCGGGACAGGGGGACCCCCCGCACCCCCGTCCCGTACCTGTACCAGGCGAGTCCCCGCTCGTAGTTGCGGTCGAAGAAGTGGGGCTCTGCGCCCACGGCGCGCACGTCGGGGTGCACCCTCAGGAACTCCAGCAGCGCCCGCGTCCCCCCCTTCTTGACGCCGATGATGATGGCCTGCGGCAGCCGCTTGGTGCCGGAGCCGTTGAAGAAGCTGGAGATGGGGCTGGCGGCGTCGGGCGCTGCCCGCTGCTCCTCCAGGCTGCTCTCCTCGCCCGGCTCCCCCGGCGGGGCGGCGCGGGGCGGCGCGGGAGAGCCGCGGGCAGCCAGCCCGGCGCAGGAGCCGGCGCACGAGTAGAACATGTAGAGCCAGAGGAAGAGCATGATGAAGAGCAGCAGCAGCCTCCGCCTCAGCGGCGGCAGCGCGACGGGGACATCGAGGCAGCGGTTCAGGCGCTGCCCCATGTGCCCGCGGGCGCGCCGGGATGCATGGCTGGAGCCCGCCCGGCTCGGCTCGGCTCTGCCCGGCGCCTCATGGGCACCCGCGGGGGCTCAGCACGGCCCCATCGGTGTCTCGCCGTGTGCCCGGCGCTGCCGCCCGCCCAGCGCCGCTCCCGCCGCCGGCAGCGCAGCAAAGGCAGCGGCGGGGCGGGACACGGCAACGGGGACGGGCGGAGCCCGCAGCCTATCACAGGCACACTCTGGTGCATAATGAGACGGGGAGGGGAGAAGCAGGAGGCGGGGTGAACTCATTGGTTGGTGACGCGGGGAGGGATCGCGCCGTCGGGGCGGTTTGGTCGCCCGCCGCCGTCCCCGAGTTGCCGCTGGGTCCGCACGGGGTGAATCCCGCCGAGGGCTGTGTGCTGTACATTCCCCGTTCCCTGTCCCCCATGGCTGCAGGGAGTCGCCAGCTGGGGCGTCGCGGTGTTGGCCGCATCTCAGTCATTTTCTCCTCCTCCTTTTTCCAATATACTGGGACAACAAGGTCGCCGCGGAGACCTTACTGCCGTCTTTCAGCACCTAAAAGGGGGTTATAAGGAAGGTGAGGAAAAACTTCTTGGCAGGGACAAGGAATAATATTTTTAAAGTGACAGAGAGCAGAATAGATATTAGGAAGACTTTTTTTTACAACGAGGGTGCCAGAACACTGCCCAGAGAAACTGTGGATGCCCTGGAAGTTTACAGAGCCAGGCTGGAAAGGGCATGGAATAGCCTGGTTTCATTGAAGGTGTCCCTGCCCATGGCAAGGGGTTGGAATTGATGGCATTTAGATGTCTCATCCAACCCAAACCATTCTGTGTTTCAGTGTTTTACCCACTCTTTTGATGAGTTGCTTTTTCAAGGAGACACATTGTGTCCTGGTGTATTTTCTGAAATTGCTGCCTGTACAAATTCCTGGTGAGATCTGCCACGGTCCCTCTGTCAGGACTAACATGTGGAGATCAAACCCAGCACAACAGCCTTTGAAAGCCAAACTCAAGAACATCCAGCTGAGGAGACCCTTCCCACAACACCATCAGCTCTGGGATTCTCCTTTCCAGGACCAGATCATCCCACAGTTCTCCAAGATTCCATGGAAGTGCCTTAGTCAGCACTCATCCAGCAATCAGTGTAACTCATTTCTCCAATGTATGTGTGCAGTTTTACTACCATAAATTTTTGTACAGAATTTGCTGCTTTCAGAACAGTTTTGCTTTGAGGGCAGAACCAGGTTTTGCTGGCATCTCTTTATTTTATTTTTAACTCCTCCTCCAAACGAGGTAAATTTTTATCCCCATGAAGGGCCTTGATTCTGTGTGTCAGAAGAGATAGCATGATGCTGATTTCTTCGTATATCAGCTTTACATCAATTCCTTAATTGTTGTGCAAAAGGGGATTGTTTCCATCACACTGGCTCAGTGATCTTGTAAAATAATTCCAAACTACAAACTGAAGTTTACAAACTAATTAAAACAGGCAGATTGAGGGGAAATAAAAGAAATAAGGTAAGTAAGACCCTGAGAAGTGTATGAGTTCTCTAAAAGCTGCTCAGTGGGTTAACACAGAGCTCAGGCCACCAGTTCTGGCATCACTGGCCCCTCTCCTTCCCACGACCGGGTATTTGCGAAGCAGATTTCGGGATGGCACAAGGAGAACTTTTGTACTTCAGCTGCAGAGTCAACAGCAAACAATTCCAAAGAATCTCTCTGCTGTGAGAGAAAATAGACAGTGCTGCTGGGCTCTCTGTGGTGTGAAGGGTGATCCCAACCAAGCAGAGCTGAAGTGCAGTGGCAAGAGGAATTTCTTCCCAGCTTCCCTGTGTGTGCTGGCAGAGCTGTGCCAGCTGGCCCAGACGGGTAATTGTGAAGGGAATTAGAGAGGACAGTTCCAGGCAATGCATGAATCACAGCTGTGGGCAGCAACCCTTCCACGGGTGACACGGGCTGCCTCTCCTGCCCCCAGGTTTCCTCACCTCTGCGCTCCGTGTTTTGTGCAATTCCAAACACAAAACCTGCGGCTTCCACGCACAGGTTGCTCCACTGCACATTCCTGGGCCCATGAGCTAAGAGGGAAACCCTTCAGATGGAATAATTCTCCCTGTTCCTTACATCCACCAGCACCAGCCAGGGTAACATCAACAAAATGTCACAGAAAGTTTGGTTTAAGCCTTTAATATATGTCAGCTGTAGCTTGTAAAAGTTGGGTTGGCTTTTTAAGAAAAATAGCCCCAAGATAGGTTTTACTGTAATTGTATCTTCAACAGTTGGAAGTCAGGAGTTTTTTCCCCAGGAATGGCAAGTAAGTGATCAGAAACAGCATCCAAGGAAAGGCAGGTCAGGAGGAGGGCTGAGCTCGCCCTGGAGCAGGGAGTGTGGGTGAGGGAGGTTTTGACAGGTGGGTTGGGAACCAATTATGGTTCCATCCTGCAGACTGACCCACTGCCTTCAGCTGGAGCCCACAGGCTGCTGGGCAGGGCACAGGTCTCCTCTGGACCTGCTGCCACGTTGAGAGCAGGGATCCAGCCAGGCCCAGTACCTGCTCTTGGCTCCTGGGATTCATTTAACACCCCACACTCAGCAGCTGTGGCAGGAGAATGTGTGCTGTGCCCCACTCAGGGGGCACAGAGCCTAAACCTCATAAGAAACAGGATTAGAAGGGAAGGGGAACAAACAGAAATGCACAGCTGGGTTTGCTCTGTGCCCTGCAATCATAAGAGTGGCTGTCCTGCTGGTTGGCTGGTTAATCAATAACTAATTGAGCTGCATCAGTACAGTCTCCAGATCCCATTGCTTGATGATTGACTGATTGATTGATTACACAGACAGCACTGGGAAAGTGCAGCTCCTGACAAGGGGTCGTGGTGGCACTTAGTGGAGCACTGCTGAGATGGGTCTGGAGGGCGCCCAGCTCTGCAAAACACGCTTGTACAATCAGGGCAGAAAGCAGAGAACCCAGAACAACTTCAGAGATGATGGTTGCTCAGAGAAGCTGTGGCTGCCCCATCCCTGGAAGTGTCCAAGGCCAGGTTGGATGAGACTTGGAGCAACCTGGGATTGTGGAAGGTGTCCCTGCCCATGGCAGGGGGCGGAATGAGATGAGCTCTGAGGTCCCTTCCAACCCAAACCATTCAGTGATTCTATGATCAAATCCCCAGCGAGGGATGGTCAGGTCTTCTGTGGGCTCACCTCGCCAACACCCACAGGCCCTGGGGTGACTGTGGGTACCATCACTGGGACTCGAAACAACTCAGCCACGGGCAAGGCAAGTGCCCAGGGCTTTGTGCAACCCCTTTGCACCCAAGCCCGAGTGCCCATACTGCCATAGAGCCCTCAAGAGGCTCTGTACCCCCACCAGTACCCAGGAACACCCCAGGGACATCACTGCCTCCTGCAGTGTCCTGCTGCTGCGGCCCAGGCGTGCTCCCTGCGGGGCCATGGGCAGCACCGCTGTACAGATGTAAGAGGAGATCTTGTTTCTCTCAACCTGAAACCATTTCCTTTCCCCCACTGCCCTCCCTCCCCTCGCTCCCTAATTCGTCCCTGGGGTTTTAATATCTATTTCTCCAAGTGCCACGGGCCAAATTTACTGCTCACATAACTGCCCCGACTTCAATGGCGAAGAGCGTTTAGGGTGCTCCGAGGAGGCGTAAGTAGGAGTGATGTGATGGAATTGAGTAAAGGAAAATATAGTCTGACTGTCAAGAAGAGTTTCCTACCAGTGAAATCTATAGACTGTGGAAGTTTCCCATGGGAACAAGCAGAAACCAAGTTGCTGAAGTCATTTTAAACCAGCACAAGAGAATAGGAAATCAGGCCGGTGACTGGCCAGAAGGAAAGGAGAGATGACATAATGCTACTTCTCCTTCTCTAATTTCTGTGGCTGCACTGCTTTGTCCGTGGAATTATTTTAACGCAACTGGATTTCTCCTTGTGTTCTGGGTGATGTGAAGGCTCTTGCTGCTTCTGGAGAAGTTTCAACTCCTCTGCTGCATTCTGTCCTGGATTAAAGCAATACCCACTGCAGCCCCAGTTATCCTTCCTCTTATTCCTGCTGCTTACAAACCTCTTCTGGGACCTTTTCAGGCTTCTTCCCTGACTTACCTGAGCCTCTGGATCCAGTTCTCTATTTATTGAGCTGTACAGAATGGGCCAACCCCTGGGAACAGTGTCAGGACTTCCCCAGGCCAACAATGCCAGAGCTGTAACCCAGGAGAGTGCCTAGGGATGGAAATCGTCCTGCTTTCAGGGATCCTTCAGGTAGATTCCTCCTAAATCACCTGCTGGAAAATCACAAAGGAATCATTATGTATTTCCATCATTATATATTTTCATCACAAAGGAATGATTTTCATCAAGGCCACAGGGAAACGCTGGTGACTCCTGGCTCTGGTGACTCCTGCCTGCCTAATTTGGGCTCTGTGGATGAAACCAGGGCCGCAGATGCAGTGGCCATGCCCTGCTACCACCCAGTGGCTTTGGCAACCTCTTCCCCACGGAACTTCCTAATGTATTTTCAAATGACTTAACATTCGCTCACCGTCTCAGCATTAGTGACTTAAAGCTCCTCTGTGAGCAACCTCCTACCTCGCACAGTTCCCAGATAATTACAGATTAGAACTGGCTAATTTTTATTTTTGTAAAGCTGTCAGAGATCTATGTTTGTTATTATTGTCTCCTAGGTTGCCAGTTGCATAAATACATATGTAAAACCCCCTTTGATCTCTAAGTATAATGACACAGATTTATCAAATGTTTGCCTTTTTCTGTCTCTTTGAAAAGGCTGATTTATGGAGTGCAGTCCCTACCTCCCTTCCTCTCTTGAAATATGAAGTGTTTGTGAGCAGCCAAGGTAATATTTAATATCCTGCCAAGAATCCTTTGCACTTCCTAACAAATGAACTACAACCTAACCAAATGGTTCACATCTGTTTAGCCTCTTCTCCTTTTTAACTAAACAAATTAGCATTAGAATACCTGGGAGGCACACAAAGTCCCTTTCTAGATGACAGAACACAGACAATTATTAGCAAGGGGAGTAACTGTACTGAAAGGAGCAGGCCTGGACCCAGCAGATGTTTTCACATCTCCTGTAGTGTCCATGAATGACCCGCAGCGCAGCGGACACGC